TCCCCACATAAATGTCTCCTTTTTTTAATCAGTATCATGTATCCATACTAGTTGTAAACACCACCCGAATGTACCACTAGAGAATCAATTAGTCGTAGGTCCTATGGCATCATTACCTCGCATGTTAGGCCATCGGTTTTAGGACGCTATTCAAAGCGGCGTTTCTAGGCACCATGCTTGTCCATGTTGCTCATTTGCGGCGCACATACTCGATGATGCCGGAGAACGTGTAGTATCCATCGCCCCTCGCAGGGCATAGCACCGTAAAATAAGGTCATGGCGCATGACAAGACCCTGGAAAAATTGCGGTTTCGAAATGGATTTTGTTAACAACTTTTCTGATACGCTTACCAAATATCCCATCATTTTCGAAACAATCTATGCCGCATTATGTGGTTATTAGGGCAATGAAAACGAAAATATATTTTACTTATCGAGTACGAATAACGGAGCATACTTAATTTGAAATAAGACGATCAACGCATACACAATTGGGGCACATCAAAACTACAATGTTTCGTTCAACGGCTACTTCGTAGACATCTCTAGACGCTCGTTAACGAAAAAGATTTTCATCTGGCTCGGGATTCTTGAACCTGACGAAAATGTTTTTAAATAGAGAGATTGGTGAAGTTCCATTTGCGATGATAATTTATAAATTCCTTGTCAAAGTACATGTAGATCCTAGACTCATAGCCATTAGGGCACAATGCGTTCACGAAAATTTTAATCGAAGGGGACCGACCGCCCGTGAATGTGATGCGCTGATTCCTAGCCTTTAACCATGGGGAATGGAATGCGAGTTGAAAAAGCTCCAATGGGCTTCCCATCGCTTCGTCCTTGGCTTCGTTTTGAGGACAAAGTGACAAGAGAGAATTATTCCACAAACCTGTTGCCACGTGCACGCTCCATGACAAAGGAACCGTGATCGATAATCAACTCTTTCTTGTCGTGTTTTCAATTGACAATTGAAAGAAAATTTACATTTGTTTTGTAGGAAAATTATGGATGACAGTGGGACTAGCATACCAAGGGATCACACCGTCCCAAGCCCAACTGAAACTAAAACGGGTTAAGCTTTAAGGTTTTGGGATGGATACGAGGAAATACTTTAAGTTTGTGTTTTGTCGTTTGGATTTGGATTAGAATATAATAAAATAAGATAGGATTAAAAATTTTACAAATAACTTTCGGATTATAAAAAAATCTCATCATATGTTTGGTGCAATTTAAGATACAAACGAAAATTTTTGGAAATACCACTTGGCTATCGCAATCTCCCGCACGATATCTCCAAATCTCACCCCTTGAGCTCTCTCGCCAGCTCTCTCTTCAGCTTCCTCGAGTTTGTCTCCTTCGCCGCCAGCTTTGCCATCTCCACCTCTAGGTCATAATCCTCGTTTAGCTTCACCGAGTCAGAGGCGATCTAGATGCCTGCCTAGATGAGTCTCTAGTGGAGCAACAGAGGGAGGTAGTAGGCGTGCTTGATTTGGTAGGCGAGGTAGCGACGGTTGATGTAGAGGTGAAGGGGTGGTGACAGGGTGGCAAACGCCGTGCGCGAAGCGTGGACACTAATTGACGTCGAAGCCAACGATCTGGGGGTAGTGAGGGGCAGAGAGAGGATGGACGAAAATCCATCGGCGGACGACGTTGGGGCAGCGAGTGAAGGGGCTTGAAGGACCTAGGGTACTCATGAAGGGATCGAGTTCTTCAATGGTGATAGCCATGTGATGTATAACTTCTCCTTTTTACCCTCAGTCATTGAAACACCATGGGTTAGATGGCAAGAACAATTAGCCGTGGTAAGATCGACAACAATCGTGCGGTGGTCAAAAGTGACGACAATCAGCTACCGTGTGGTGATGGTCCTCACCTGGTGGCCGGCCAAGCAATATCGGATGCGTCCCTCCATCCTTGGAAGACACTAGAATTATCAGGTTATTTTTTTAAAAAAATTATACAATCCGAATTTATTCGACCTCATGCCAGGATTTCTTATCTGGCATTTTATTCGGATATATCTAAGTTTATCATGTCCGGAGAACGTCGCCAAATATCAGATAATAGAATTTGTTATTCTATACTGACTCGAATTTGTATTATCAAACGCAGCATAAGGTTTGAGACAAGAATTTATCTTGTGGATAGTCCGAATCCAAATATGATAATTATTTTATTGGAGAATCTTTGTACTCCTATACGAACCTAGATTACTTATGTAGTTTTATATATTAGAAATTGCACAAAAATTCATACCAATAGATATTCTTCTACAGATGGTTATTCAAGTTTATTAAACAATTAGATATTGAGCTAGTTGCATAATCTCGATTTCTCATAATCGTGGACGTGTGATCAAGACAACTATTATTTGTTAGTGCGAGACAATTTTTTCTTGATGAAAACTATGTAAGAGAAGATAATAAATATAAGAGTATCGAAAATCTATTAAGAATCGAACGAGAAGCCGGTAACTTAAATGGAACGGATTTGTCATATCATTATAAAACTCTCAGAAATTGAGAACAGATCAAACAATTATTTTTCTTTTTTCTTTTTTTAAGGATAAACCTTAAGCAAAACAAAAAAGGAAAAAAAATCATATGAAGAGGTGTACGGTTCAGATTGATGAACCAAATCCTCCCTCGGTCTCGATCCCACATCTTGGGAATTTCTTATCAGCATTTTATGGATTTATATGTAGTTCTGGATTTTCTCCTTAAACAATAATGTTCGGAAATTATGGAGTTTTGTCAACACGGGAACCGATCAATTTAATATATATATATATATATGTTTGAAATTTAAAATATATTTAGACAAACCCATCACCAGCATTAATTCTTTTGTCATTTTATAAATCCCCCCTTAATTTATAGCATTTTCACGGCGTGCATTGCCAAATTGAAGAATATATATATATATATATATATATATATATATATATATATATATATATATTTTTCCCATATTTTTTTATATATGGAAATGCATGTATATATGTTGTAGTGGATATGTGGGTCGGTTATTTCATGACTGCACCTTTAAATTGTTCCTCGGATGTCTAGTTGCAATATGTAGAGATATAAATGAATGCAGCAAAGGTCAAGCTATAGGTCGTTGCAATTCTAGTAAAAGAGACCGGAGTGGAGATCATCGAGTATCCTCTAGTTCTCATCATTTTAGAAGTTGGAACCGCATTGATCGAACCAGGTCATAATAAGGTCATTTAGGCTCCGTTGATTTCACAGAAAAAAAATTTTCCTCGTTTTTCGGGCATTTGGTTCGCTTAGGAAAATACATCAACAGAAAACTTATGTTAAAATTCAGGAAAATGATTTTCTCTCTTAAGAAACTGAAAATAATTTTTCAAAATATGACTAGGTATCAGTATTTGGGCTTGAAATTCTACTCACCCCAACGATGGTTCTTGGGTCTTCGGCATCCAAGACCAGGTCTCCAGTGCCTGTGCCTGTGCCCTCAGTGCCCATGTTGGAATTCCTTACGCCCTTGCTTAGGTTCATCAAGGGCAAGCCTGAGCCCCCGGTGCCCATGCCTGAATCCATCATGGCTAGGCTCGATGCCCCAGCACCTGGACCTAGGTCCATAAAGGCCAGACGAGGGATCCCGGTACCCGAGCTTAGATTCTTAACACTTGAGCCCGAGTCCACAAAGTTTGTGCCCAGGTCCACAAAGATCGTGCCCAGGTCCACAAAGATCGTGCCCAAGCCAGGGACTCCAGTGCCCACGCTAAGGTCCATCGAGGTTGCACCCAAGACCCAAGTGCCTGTGCCCCGACCCCCGGTGCTTGGGTCGAGGTCCATCGTGGCCGAACCCGAGACTCTAGTGCTTGTACCTAGTTCTCTGGTTGCCCATTCACAAGATTCCAACGTCTGAATAGTGTGTGTCTATTTAGGAAAATCAAATCAAACTTTTCATACCAAACGACATAATATATTTTATAGTTCATTTTCATATTGCAGCCAAATATAAGAAAATATTATCATTTTTTCTGGATAACGACTTCTTGGAAATCATACATTATCCGCGAAACGAACGGAGCCTTATTCTAATGGTTTCAGCGATTGTACTTTCTTGTATAGCGGTCCATTCGAATACCTCACGACCGTGACCATAATGTTATTTTTTGCCGTTTTCAAAAAAAAGAAAACTCACGTTTCCTTTGTTTTGTCCAATTGCCAAAAGCATGTCCAAGTTCCGGGCCGTGGGCTTCGAAGTTTGAACGTACGAAACATAACGATAAAATAAATCCAACCCCAAAACAAGTGCCAAGAGAATTAAAAAAAAACACAAGGAAAGATAAAGAAAAGAAAAAAAAAGAAAAGCGCGCACGACACTTCTACTTCCTCGGAAATGCATTCCCTTTCCCGACGGTCAGGTGCGCACTGCGCATCCCCGCTCACCGTAGCCATCCCCGCCCCGAATAAAAAAACAAAGAGAGTTTAAAAATAAAAATAAAAAGAGAGCGCCGGGTGGCGGAAAATCAAAAAAAAGAAAGAAAGAAAGAAAGAAAATCGGTTAAAAAAAAGGAGCAGCCGAAAAAGGGCAAAAGGGAGAACGGGAGAAGTAGGCGGTGGTTAAAAATAAAAATCCAAAAAAAAGTAACAAATGAAAAATAATTTAAAAAGATCAGTGAACGAGTACACGCTCTTCTAAATACGCAACAAACAACACCGCTCTCCCTCTTCCCTTCCTTCCGCGCACTGTCGGAGATTATTATTAACAGCAGCATCAGCATCAGCATCAGCATCAGCAGCAGCAGCAAAAAGCCATCTGCTAATCTCTCTCTCTCTCTCTCTCTCCCATATCCCCACGGCCCTCTGTCAGTCCTCCCCCTAAACCCAGATTTAAATCCGCGTTTCTTAGAGAGAGAAAGTCCCTCTCATCGCCATTTCGCTTTGCTCCACTCTCTCTCTCTCTCTCTCTAGAACGCGCTCTCGCCATCGTCCCGGCTCGCTCGCAAAGCTGTGCTGCGCTGCGCTGCGCGCGCGCGCGCGCGGGGGGGGGGGGGGGGGGATATTTTCTCTCTCTCGCTTCCGCTGTGGTGGAAACCCTGGCGGATGGATCTTCGGGCGTGAGCGGGGGAGGAGGAGGAGGGGCATTGATACAGATCGGGCGAATGGCGGAGGCGTCCGGCGACGGGGGAGCGACCCCGGAGCTGCTGCTGCTCCCCACCACCACCACCACCACCAGCTGCGGCAGCAGCAACGGCGGCAGGTCGGAGGCGGCGGCGGCCGCCCTCACCGCGTCGGCGTCCTTCAAGGAGGGCGGCGGACGGAGCGGCTCCCGCAGGCGGACCTCGGTCCGGCCCAGCTTCGACGCCGACAACGAGTTCATCACCCTGCTCCACGGCTCAGATCCCGTCAAGGTCGAGCTCAATCGGCTCGAGAACGAAGTCAGAGGTGCGAATGCGGCTGGATCCGGCGGCTTCCGCCTGGATTCTCGTGTTGATTTGGCGTGTCTTTGGTGTTTGAGTTCCGTTTGTTGCTTTTTTTTTTTTCACCGTGCGTGCGTGCGTGGCTTCGTGATGGGGTTTCAGATAAGGACAGAGAGCTCGGGGAGGCGCAAGCGGAGATCAGGGCGCTGAGGTTGTCCGAGCGGCTCAGAGAGAAGGCTGTTGAGGAGGTGATAATATCGCCTGGACTCTTTCGTTTATTTTCTACATTGCCATTTTGGATGCGATGAAACTGTGTCGTTAATATTCCGTTAGTTCATACGGTTGTATTTGTTTTAAATTAAAAGCAATCTACTCGGAATTATCTTAACATCCTTGATATGGCTACTGAAGCACGTGGTTAATGCATTTACTCCGTCACATTGTGAAGTGATTCGAATCCCCGAAATATTATGAAGGCTGAGATTTTTGCTTCGTTTGCCCGCCGCCTGATTGCTCTACAGGTTTTGTAAGCATAGTTTGGATTTTAGATTCTTCTTGCTCAATGCCACCACCTTGCAGCTCAGCGGATGTCGGGGGACACATTCGCGGTGGAGTGTCTTCCTTATCTGATTCAGGGATAAAATCTATGTGTATTTATTATGTGGATATTCAGAGTTCGATCACGCATTAAGTCGTTTACGAAATTTGATACTTTAGAAAGTTCCATTTCTTGGTACTAATGCACATCTCCATGTTCAAATGCGGCTGATAGCAGTATTTTCTTTCATGGACATGCGTTGTGCTAATAAAGGAAATTCTTATTTGGAAGGCCATTTTGGGGCAATTTTTGTCGGATTGAGAGTTTGGTTATTAGGATATCAACATGTGCATAGAACGAGTGCTGTTGACACGAGAGCTGTAATAGACCTGTGGGCATGCAAGGACCAATGGAATCACAGAATGTGTATTAGCGATGGAAATTGGTTGACCTCCCAAATAAGTACTCATTAAGGTGGTTTATTAGGAGAATGGGTGATTTAAAGATGATACTACTTGATAACGTGACTTTGGGTTGTAAAGAATACTGAAGCGCCCTTAGCATCTGGATGTAGATAATGCAGCCCTACATTGTTTAAGAGAACCCGTATGGCATATCCCACAGTATGAAAGAAGCTGAACTTCTGTTATTGGTATATCCAAGACTAGGAAGACCACTAAGAATAGTACGGTTATTTTGTAAGGGTAAAACATTATTAACTTGTTACCGTAGATACTCTTAACACTATCTTTCCTTTTCTTATTCTTTTTGTTTCTTTGGTAATAAGAGGATAAACATTGACTTCTCTCTCTCTGTGTCTGTGTTGTGTAGCTCACTGAGGAACTGTCTAAGGTGGAAGAGAAGCTCAAGTTGACTGAGAAGCTTCTTGAAAATAAAGTACCTACTGAAACTTTTCTTCTGTTTTTTGGCCAATGTACTAAAATATATATTTACACGCCCTTTTTCCGTGCCTTCTCATCAAGCTATATTAATCTTTAAATTGAATAACAGAATCTGGAAATTAAGAAAATCAATGAAGAGAAGAAGGCATCCATGGCAGCTCAATTTGCAGCTGAAGCCACTCTTCGAAGGGTTCACGCTGCTCAGAAAGATGACGACATGCCTCCCATTGAGGCCATTCTCGCTCCTTTGGAGGCTGAGCTTAAGCTTGCAAAGCAGGAGGTAGTGACTCCATGATGTAATTAGCCTTTTCAAAGTAAAAGGTACCACTTGATGGAAGCCGGTGATCTGACAATTTTGTTTCTTGCCTCATTTCTATTCAGATTGCAAAGCTTCAAGATGATAACAAAGCTCTAGACCGTCTTACTAAATCCAAAGAAGCAGCTTTACTGGAAGCTGAGAGGACTGTTCAGGTTGCCTTAGCTAAGGCCTCTATGGTGGATGATCTCCAAAATAAGAATCAAGAATTGATGAAACAAATCGAAATTTGCCAGGTTAAATTGGCTGCTGGATTTTTTAGTATTTTATCGGAACTTGGGGTTGATTCTCAGAACTTATCCAAAATTATTTCTCAAACTCGTCCTCTCTTCTTGAACCAGGAAGAAAATAAAATTTTGGACAGACTGCACAGGCAAAAGGTTGCCGAGGTTGAAAAGCTTACACAGACTGTAAGGGAGCTGGAAGAGGCTGTTCTGGCTGGTGGTGCAGCTGCAAATGCTGTGAGGGATTATCAGCGCAAAGTGCAAGAAATGAATGTAATTCGTTTGGATTATTGCATGCACAGCTAGAGAATTTGTTTGAGCGAATATATCTTTTTCAGTTCTTATTCAATAACATGTTTTTCCAGGAAGAGAGGAGAACCCTTGACAGGGAGTTGGCCCGAGCAAAGGTCACCGCAAACAGAGTGGCCACTGTGGTAGCAAACGAGTGGAAAGATGCCAATGACAAAGTAATGCCTGTTAAGCAATGGCTTGAAGAACGAAGATTCTTGCAGGTAATTCTTAAGCTATCTTAGTTGTTGGCATTGAAGGCCCCTCGCCACCATTTCTTGCTTCTGGGGAGTTAATATGTTGTGCATGTTCCGTTCTCAAAAGTTTATGTTGCTGTTTATGAGTTGTACAGGGAGAAATGCAGCAACTGCGCGATAAACTTGCTATAGCTGAGAGAGCAGCGAGATCCGAGGCTCTTTTAAAGGTAATACTTATCTTGCATTTTAGGCTGTTGTAGTTGCGTGGATTATTTAGGCAGGGTCTGAAGTCTCATCTTCCACTTTTTTCAGGAGAGATATCAGTCGAGGCTCAAAGTTATAGAGGAGAGTGTGAGGGGATCTTCAGGCAGCAATAATCGTAGTGCATTAGAGGGGAGGAGCATCAGCAATGGGCCCTCCCGGCGCCAGTCTCTTGGTGGGGCTGATAATGTGTCTAGGCTTACTGCAAGTGGACTCTTATCCAGGAAAACAGCTTCACAATCAAAATCTTTCTCTTCTGGTGCTACTACGGTATTGAAACATGCCAAAGGAACATCAAGGTCATTTGATGGCGGCACAAGATCTTTAGACAGGGGTAAATTACTTTCCAATGGAACCGGTACAAATTACTCTCCAAACCAGTCATGTGACGCATCCAAGGAGAGAGAAGAAAATGACTTCTCAAAGGGAAACTCTGATGATAAATCAAATGAATTCGCTCCTGCTGAGACTCAAGACACTGTTCCTGGGGTTTTATATGACATTTTACAAAAAGAAGTTGTAGCTTTAAGGAAAGCTGGTCACGAGAAAGATCAAAGCCTCAAAGACAAGGATGATGCAATAGAGGTTGATAACTTGTCAAGCTTTTGTCATGATATTCTACAGTTTTATTTTTCAGTGTTTTATTGGTGTAATTTCCTACACTGCAGATGCTTGCCAAAAAAGTAGAAACTCTAACCAAGGCCATGGAGGTTGAAGCAAAGAAGATGAGAAGGGAAGTAGCTGCGATGGAGAAGGAGGTTGCTGCTATGCGGGTGGACAAGGAACATGAAAGTAGATCAAAAAGGTTTAGCAATCAGAAGAATCCAATCGGCAGTTCTCAGCTGCTAACGGGAAGGTAACTTGATGAAACTTGCTCTAATTCTGATTTCCGTGAAGTATTATGATCTCTAAGGAATGGTTGACATCCTATTTATACTTGTATAGAAGATAATTAAGTGAAGTCCCCTAAGTAGTAAGAAGTAGAGTCTTGGGTTTTTGCCTTGAACCTTTTGCTTTAGGATTCCTTTTTTTGATGCTTTAGATGTTCTTGAGTTGATAAAGTACCTCTCCCATAAAATATTGACACGTTCCTAGTGCCTTCTTGGTGCTCTTTTGATGAATGCTTTTTTTTTTTCACCCAAAGAATTTTAGATCTGCTCCACTGAGTTTATAGAACTTGATGAAATTCTATTATACTTTTGAGGTGAATCAAACCAGATATTTATTGTCTGTATCTGAGTTAAGCTTAGTATTTCGTGGTGCATAAAAGTTGCTTTTTCTTAGACATGGAGGACGATGCACCAACTTGGTCTCTTATCAGTAGTCATGTTTGGTTGCATGCATGTGAACTTTATCCTTGTCACCTGAAGAAAACACATCAATTTCATTGTGTCAAAACTCAAAAGTACTTAGATTCTATCTGATATTTATACTCGGAACTAATCCTGTTGGGTTTTGGTTGTCAACATATGGAAATCATTCATTCTTTGTCTCCTTTTGTTGTGCCTGTACCTTGATCCTTCAACTCTTTGTATCTTTTCAACTCCTATATTTGAAGCCATGCGGTCGTGCTTGGTCAAAAAGTGTCATGTCCTTGTAAGGTTGTCTTGTTTGGGTTAAGATAATGACCCTGTCTAATATCACATCTTTCTTTTGGGGGTATAAATGGGGTCGTTTCGACTCTTTGAGCATTGGAATAATCCCAATTGGGCGTGGCAACCCCTTTGTCCCATGGTAGGTAATTATCGGAGCACACAGGTTCATGCTCCTAGAAGTGGCCCAAGAGAATTAGTGTGGTGATTCAAACCAATTTTTAAGCAAAGAAGATGAGTGCATCCCTAGGGTCCTATATCACGTCTGTCAATCTTTAATAACCATATATTGGGTGCCTAGCAAGTAAAAAAAACCTTCACCTCTATTCTGACAAAGGAAAGACACTCATCCAATTCGTCATGGGGTGCATTCGTCTATAGATCTTAGTCTTAGATAAGTTGGTGGTATAGTAAAGGGCTTTTTTAGCTTGTTCATCAAGCTCATTTATGACGAAGTCTTTATCTTTCTGCTGTTCAAAATAACCTTACCGTAAAGTACTTATAATTTTCTCAGAGATAGTCATCTGACATTTGCATTAATGGAAGCATTAGAACATTAATTTTCAGCTTTCTGGCTAGGATCCTTTTATGCTTGGAGGAGTTCACATCAGTATATGTACACATTGCCTATAGCCTATTGAAACATCGAAATACATGGCACATCCCCCATTTTTGGTCTGCTTTTATGTACAAGGCTTTTCTGAATGCATCTCTTGCTAGGGTACAACAAAGTATGGTCGGGTAAAATGTAGTATTTAAAACTCCTTCCCAACCCCCAAATAATATGTACATGGTAGGCTGCTTGGCTGTAATCGAACACATTATGCTTTTGGTTTGCCTTCTCAGAAACAAACTGTGCAGGAACATTCAACTTCAATACATAGCTGACAATCTAGTATTCAATGTACCTCATTTTGATATGCAAGTTATGTTTGATCATACTTGCCAGTTGAAATTTTACTTGCACAAACCTACAGTCTCTTCTGCCTGTTTTATTCTGATCAATTAGGTGAGACCAAAATTTAATCACCTTATTTGCCGATATTTTGCCAATTTTGAAGCAAGTCGAAATAAGTTTGAGAGGATTTGGCATTGCCTATCTTTACCCAAAATGTTTGCATGTAGGCTTTTGTACTTGTTGAGGTGTCAGATCAACTCGTTTCCTTAGTCGTGGTGCGAGCCTTACATTCGACTAATTATTTCCTTTCTTCACTCTATATGTATTTTTTCCCTGAGTAGATCTAGTCTGGAATCTGTTTCTTCCCTGTATAGCCATGGCATTGACATATTTACCCATCGTTGTGCAGGAATGTGGCTCGAACTGGGTTAACACGCAGCACCCAATAACCAGAAGCCCTAATGCAAGAGCTGTAAGGAACATGTTGGCATAAGCTATGTTTGTGAGTTCCTTGATTTTTTTTTATTATTCGTCGACCCCTTTAGAGGTTGATTATAAGATTGTAAGTTTGTAACTGCCATGCCGGTGCCATTGTCCCTATAGAATTTGGTAAAGTGTAGGAGAGTCATAAAGAGATCAAAACAGTGAATCATATTTGTGTGCTTCTAACCTAGAATGTTATTCATCTGCTTAGAGAATCAGACAGAAGGACAAAGGCATTGATGCTGGGCTAACCTTTTATCAGGTTTTGAGTGGCAGTGGTTGTGTTGTTTTATGGGTAGCTTTCTGGCCTTCATTTTATATCAGTTGACATATTTTTTATCTTTTTATCTGGGGGCAGTTTGTATATGTGATCAATCAGCGAGTACTGCGATTGTTGTTCACGTTTGTTAATATTCTTGTAATCAGATGTTTAACAGTCAAGTTGTTTCTTTTTCTATCTACACTTCTAGCGGGTCTACTAATTTATGATTATTTTTTGAGGCGCATTTCTGCTTTTGTCGAGCATGTTTTGGATTCTCTCCTTTTCCTTTGTCTTCATGGAAAACTGACAAAGAATCGACAGATGATAAAATCTATTTTTGCATCCTCGGTGGCGAACATCAAATATGATCCTTTTGGTGCGGTGGAATCAGAAGCAATCTACTCTGATCCGGTGACACCCTTCCGTGATACAAAATGAATAGGTGAAGTTGGTGGACTTAGCTTAATACAACTGTTGATGTAAACAAGAAATTACTGGATATATCATAGTGGCCCCTCACAAGATGTCTAGCTAACAGTCTGGCACGTGATGCTTTGCCGTCGGTATTGAAGTTTAGAAAGTAGATTTTGGGGATTCCTGTTGACGTGTTTCATGGAGTCGCTGTCTCGCTTGGTTGTGGACAGCCTTGGTTTCAACGTAATCTTTTGAAGCTTAGCGGAGTAGAATAAATTGATTCATGGTGAAGGCTACTACTTAGTCTTGACTGAATTATCTCTCTCTCTCTCTCTCTCTCTCTCTCTCTCTCTCTCTCTTTGCGCCAATTCTTTGTGCTCATGTTATGCAGAACAAGAGCATATTCTAAAGAAGTCATCCCGTCCAATCCAAAAAACTGACCTGTTTGATGTGGACATGTGATAATATTGCGTGCTACAAGTCGCAACAGCCCCCTCCGATCTCCCATCTTTCTCAATCTTGATAAGTAATTGCATGGTTCAAATGTGGACCAGGCCTCATGGAGCTCCAACTGGGACGCACTCTAGGACAATGGTGAGGTTTCCTAATTGATGGGAAAGGTTTTTATATTGTTATCGTCGTACTCTTAACCTTTGGACGATTCTAAATTTTCCAATCACCAGTAACTTAACAGATAAGACGTGCTTTGGACCCTTTCAGAAGGTAATTGGAATCCTAAATCTATGAGATTGCCAATTATTGAAAATCAAGAAAAAGAAGAAGAAAATTTCAAGGATTAATACCACGAAAAATCCCAAACTGATACACCTGTTATAAATTTATTCCGAACTAATATTTAGATTACAAAAAATCCCAAACTGATATACCTTTGATAAATTTATCCCGAACTATTTTTTTGACCACAAAAAACCCTACACTGGTACATTTGTGACAATTTTACCCCGAACTAATTTTTTGACCACCAAAAACCCCAAATTGGTACACCTGTGACAATTTTACCCCAAACTAATTTTTTGACCACTGAAAACCCCAAATTGGTACATTTGTGACAAATTTACCCTCTGTTAAATTGGTTTAATATCACGAAAAATCACAAATTGGTAAACTTGTGACAAACAGAGGGGTAAAATCTCAAACTGGTATATCCGTCAACTACCACGTGTCATCAAACTTAGCAATTTGACAGTAAAATTTAACGGAAACTAACGGAGGGTAAATTTGTCACAGGTGTACCAGTTTGAGGTTTTTGGTGGTTAAAAAATTAGTTCGGGGTAAAATTGTCGCGGGTGTACCAGTTTGAGATTTTTGGTAGTCAAAAAAATAGTTTGGGGTAAAATTGTCACAGGTGTACCAGTTTGGAGTTTTTTGTGATAAAAAAAATAGTTTGAATAAATTTGTCACAGGTGTACAAGTTGGGATTTTTCGTGGTATTAACCCAAATTTCAATTGTTGTATTCCTAATATGGATATATGACATTTTCCGCCATAGATGAAATGAGAACAAGGCGTATTGCATTTGATATTTGAGATCTCTCTTAACATAATTAGCCCAAAAAAAATGCACTACCCTTTGACCATTGTTGCAAAATTAACACGAACCGTCAAACGTCTCAGAAAATGGCACAACCTTTTTATCTATCATTGATTCATTGTTGTAGATTTGGCACGAACTTAAACAGTCTCAAAAGGTACACAACTTCGTTGCAAATTTGACATCCGTTAGATTTCTTTCCATATTCGCCATCGTCTCTCTCGCTCGTAAGACACACATTCAAAATACATCAATTTTTAAGCATAATTAACAAAAAAATAGTGCTCTTCAATGACACGACTGGACATAATTATGACACCCGGTATACAACATGTGAGCACGAATAGCAGCCTTGATATTATCGTCAATCCAATATAGAGGGTAACTTTAAATGGCACAGCCCCAACACTAACAACAACCCCAAACCCTTGATAGCTTTGATTTCTAGTCTTGTTTTGCCCTAATCGCAAATTAATTTTTCTAGGAATGAGTTGTAACATGTGGTTTTGACGGGTTGGCATTACTGTGTGTCCATCAGCGTATTGACAAACACGTGTTTGACATGTGGAAGTGATGACGTCGAAAATGGAAAAAATATTAACAGATGCAAAAATTTACAATAATGGTAGAATGTTGTGTATTACTTTAAATGCTTAAGAGTCCATGTTAAATTTACAACAATGGTAAAGTATTGTGCATTTCTTTTTTGAGTAATTCGAAATCTCATTTAATTTTGCAACAGTGGTTAAAGCTGTGTTCGTGTACATATGTATAGCCAATTTTGCTAATTGGCGCATGTTGGACATAATAGGCCCTGGCCAACACTTTTGGGCCCATCGAGGTGCATCGGCAGCACAGACAATTGATTCCCAAAGCTGGCCTACTTGATCCACCCAGCTCGAGTGCACCTAATCAATCGAAGCTTAATCTACAGCATAAAAATTAAGGTCCAAAAGTTAACGAGTGCCTCCGGAGCCCTCATATTAAGCACACTTAACGGCGCATTGGAACTCGTGATACTTCCTAATTTAGAAGCGCTCCGAGGCACTTTCTAATTAAAAAGTCATATGCAGCATATTATTATTATTATTATTATTATTATTATTATTATACATTAGACCTTTTGACCCTGCACGCCTTTAGCTACACACTAATCTAATGGCATCATATTTAATTAGCATTAACCTTGACCAGCTAATCCCAGGCGCCTGGATTTCTGTATGGTCAAGAGAGATTCTTCGGTTTCACGAAAGCGAAAGAAGCACCCCCCCCCCTACCCTTTCCATTCTCGGTCATAATAGCTCAAGCAAGATCACGCCAATGGAATCCAATGAAAGTGTCGCGTACGAACCACGCGCAGAACAAAATATCTGACGCTCGATTCCATGAACCGCCCTTTTGAATTTGGAAAAAGAAAACTCGTCGTGACATCCCAAAGAACCAATCTTGACCAAGAAAACCGAGTCAAGAGAAGAAGATCGAGGACGCAGATACTGTTGTGGTGACATTTGGGTGGCAAAGAAAAAGGGGTTCTAGAACAGAAGGAGAGGAGAGGAAACGAAACGAAACGAAACGAAACGGTGGTCCCCTGCGAATACCCATTAGAGATGATGAATCGAATCCAGTTAGAACTTTGAACATTTATAGACAATTTGCTCGTCGAATCAAACATTCCCGAATCAAGAACCATCAATCAATTCCAATGGACGACGGAAAACTAACCCCGTGAGACCCTCCAACGAACGAGGAGAAGAAAGAAGATCCCAGAGATTCAGAGCGAGACAGAGAGAGAGAGAGAGAGAGAGAGAGAGAGAGAGAGAGAGATGTGATTCGGAATTTGGAATGAAACTGCCTCGATCAATCCGTCTTCGACACCGTCTGCTCGTTGCGGTTGTTGCCGGACGACGTCGTGCCGTCGTAGCGCGAGCCCACCATCATCATCACCTTGAACTCCTCGAAGCTGATGGCGCCGTCCCCGTCGCTGTCGACGCCGCCGATCATCCTCCGGCACTCGGCGAGCGAGCTCTCCTCGCCGAGGCTCCGCAGCACCTTGTGCAGCTCCTCCGCGGTGATGGACCCGTCCCCGTCGATGTCGTACACCGAGAACGCGTCCCTCAGGTTCTCCATCGCCTCGTCCGGGTCGACCCCCTTGGTGTTCATCTCCACGAACTCCCCGAAGTCGATGAACCCGTCCCCGTCGGAGTCCACCTCCCGGATCATCTTGGCCAGCTCCTCCTCCGTCTCCGGGTGCCCGAGGGAGCCCATGATGGACCCCAGCTCCGACGCCGAGATCTTGCCGTCCCCGTTGGCGTCGAACTTCCTGAACACCTGCTCCAGCTCCTCGATCTGGGACCGGGACCGGGACCCCATCGACGAGGACCGCGACCCCAGCGGGGTGGCCAATGCGGACCCCCCCGCCGCCGCCGACGGCGAGGTGGGTTTCTTCCGACGGAAGAGGGATCGGAGACCCATGATCGGAAACCTACCGATTCGAACACGGGGATCGTGGAACGGGAATGCAGGCTATCGGGAGGAGGGCAAGCAACACGGTTCGTGATGATTGGTTTCTTTGCGTGGGGGATGAGAAAACGGAATCCCGATGGGGATGGGATTGATCTGTGTTCGTTGTGATTTTTTTGTTGCGGGGGAGGGGGATCTTGCGGTTTTTGATACGAACTATTTCGGGAGATGGGCAATTTTTCGGCCCTCTCTTTTCGGGGGGGTTTCTCTCTCTCCCTGCGCGTTTGCGCTGGTGGTGATTGCGCCCCGCTGGATCTCTCCCGGAGAATCTGGTACTTTCATGAGTCGCATTCTCTGAACCGTCAAAATAGGTCTGGACCTCAATTTCTCAACCCCCGTATTTCATGGGTCGAGTCGTTATCATATGGATTAGGTAATGCTCAACAAATGGGGTTTCGGAATGGTGTTGAATGGGTTCGCAGTTTACCCGAACCTAACTCACCTTTGTGACTCCCTTGTTCACTCTCTGTGAGGAAAGAATGGACTCCTCGGACTCTTTCGAGTTTGGAGAAATCTCGGTGGGCCCGCAAGATGGGCCCGACTTCGCCCTAATTAAGACTATCAAGAAGGTTTTTGTTTTTTTTCATTATTTCTTTTATTTTTATTAGTCTTGTAAGTTTCGTGTATTAGTTATTGGAGCGTATCTTTCACTGGTTGCATTTGGCGTTGTTATGTTTGGGTAATAGTCTGATCTTAATTCTTGTCGTTGCAATCTATGGTCGGCACAAATCACCTCCTTTGATATCTTACATTTTATTTAATTAAAATTTCAATTCCCCCACGTTATTTTGTTGCTGTAATTTTATAAATTTACTACCAAGTACTAACTTTCTCTTATTCTTCATTGTGAATTAATACGAAAATCGAAAATTTTATGCAATATTGAAAGACAATTCTTTAGCATCTTCTAGTCGAAATAGCGATTTTATCTGAATAACATATACATATCAAGAGTTTAAAGTAGGTTAACTAGGTGATGACGGATTTTCATAGGTTAGATTAAAATATGGAAATATTTTAGTAAATAAGTCGAGTCACCAAATTTGTACTGTATATAAATGGGTCAATTTGGATCGGATCATTTTTTACCCAACCCAAACTTAACCAGACCCGACCCGACCAATTCATTTGACAGCCTTAATCTGTTCTATCTTAACCATTGGATCGCATGGAGCTCAATGCCTAACATTGGAATGGACTCATGTGCTCTTTATGCCTGCCAAATTTTTGGTTGGTGGAAACTAGATTGCATTGCGAGCATAGAGATTGTCCGGAGGGGCATTCTTATTTACTTCGGACTCTTTAGAGATAATATAGACACAAGCATGATGATTTAAAGTACTTAGAAAGGGACGACCGCAAAATACATCTTCCATCAACGTCTACCTCCAAATATAAAATTTGCATCTCGAGACGAAAGTAACTATCCAAGAACCACCTATTCATCTTTAATTAATCGCGGATCCTAGATGGTTTCTCATAACCTTTCTTTCCCAATGCGGCACTTTGCCCCGACTCTCTCTCTCTCTCAATTGGCCCCTCAACAGTCGAGCAAGTCGCATGATTTGGCGGCCGGCCGGCCGACTTTCATCTGGACGAGGTCCGAGGTAGTAATCGTTGCCAACCCTCTAATGCGAGGATGGTGATCGTCCCGGCGGCCTTCAAGCTAGGTGGCTAGACGTGCGAAGAGGAGAGGAAGGGGGCGTGGGGAGGGGTGGTGGGCACGTCCCACGAGGATGAGCACGCGGGATGGCGACGGGGAACGAGACGGTTAGCAGAGAGTCAAATTTGTTAATTGTGAACGACAAATTCGTTCAATGTGCACTGGCGACGGGCGCTTTCTTTCTGAAATGAAGTGTCGAACATTATTGCAAAATCATAGAAAGAAAATGATAAGAACTTATTACACGCCCAAAGTGTCCAACGCCCAAAATGACAAAACATACCAAATGACCTGGGAAAAAAAAAAAAAAAACCAAGTGGAGATCGTATTCAACATTTTATAACTTTCATAAAACTATTTTCAAAATTTTCTAGCACTATTTTTTTTTTACCCATGCTTTGAAATTTACTTGGCACTAAACCGGCGGAAACTGAGGACGGAAAGAGGATTTCATTAGCCGTCTGCGAGTTTGGAGGTGAGCTCCCGGAAGAATGGCCGCTGCTTCCAAGACTGCCGTCGCTTCCCTCGTGCACTACCGCCCGCTAACCTGCGCCGCCTCCGCCTCGGCTACCCATCCCGCGCGCCTCGTCCCCCACGCGCCGGACCTGATCAAATGGGTCCGGCGAGAAGGCGGGTTCGTGCACGAGGCCGTCAAGATCGCTCAGGACGGGCTCGGCGGCCTGGGCTTGGCCGCCGCCGATAAGATCCCCAAAGGCTCCGACTTGATCGCTCTTCCCCGTCACGTGCCGCTGAGGTTCCAGTCCGACGGCGGAGGCGTGTTCGAACCGGTGCTGGCCGACTTGGCGAGCAAGGTCCCAGGTGCGCTTCAAATTTGGGGTTCTTGCTTTTAGCCGTGTCTGGTGAAGTTACCGGTCTTGATTAGGTTGAGGTGATTCTTTTGATGGATTTCTCTTTTTGCCTTTTCTAGTTGTTTTTGTCCTCTCATATAAGAGCTCGCTCGAGTTGATTCTTGATACGGGACTTTGATTTGATGGGGGTCTGAATAAGAGAGAATTGAGTTAGTAAATTCCGGTGGTGATAATATTGTTTGTGCTTCAAGGCAATGGCGAGATGTTGCATTTTCGCGAGAGGTTACTTTTTTGAGTTTAAGTCCTGAGGCTTCATTTTGTGAGATAAGATGAAGATTGTTGTTGCTTCGTTTACTACGACTTGCAATGATTAGCTAAGATAATGTTTCCTTCGGAGTGTTTCAAGATTTTGGGTAGGATGAATGCTCTGGATGGTAGCTGACAATTTGCGGATGAGGCATTTCTTTGCTTTTGCTATAATATATCACTCCATCATTCACATTTTTGCCCGTCGTCTTGTGCCCGATGGATGTCACGATGTATCTGTTTTGTGTCCTGACTGTCGAGCAATGTGATCACTAGTAGTTGAGATCTATTAAGTGCAGTGTAAAGGCTTCATTAATTAACTTTGTCTTCCTCTTCCCTTATTTTCCCCAGTAAATGGCGTGAACTTTCGGTATTTTGGTTCTCTAAATATGTTACCTCCCTCTCTGTTTTGGACAATTCACTTTAATGTAAATCCGTGGATAAAAACTTGGCCAAAGTTAGGTTACATGGTGGATGGCGTATTGCTAGCTCATTGACACTTAAGGCTGTGCATTTGGTGGACATTTTGTTTGTCATAGGATGTAGGCTGCGTCCATGCTTGCTGCATGACGGCTTATAGATTTTCTTTGCTCAACATGTTTTGGTAACTGTAACTTTTGAAATTAGGCTGTACTGAGTTTTGAATGAGTAAAATGGACATTGTCGGAGCATTGGCAGAGGAATTATGGGCGATGAAGTTGGGTTTAAAGCTTCTTGGAGAAAGGGCAAAGATTGGATCCTTCTGGTGGCCCTACATCGGCAATCTTCCCGAGACTTACAGTGTACCCATTTTCTTTCCGGGAGAGGACATTAAGAACTTGCAATATGCTCCTCTACTTTATCAGGTAGTCCTCCAAAATATTTTTTTTAAAATTGAAAAGAAGTGGACATCCATCCAATGCTTGGGATTCGCAGTGTTCGCTCATAATGTGAAGTGCCTAAGAAACTGGGGAACTTCCACCACTAAACATGAATAAACTCAATTCTTCTGTATATGAAGCAACTCATGGGAAGGCATCCAAGCCAAATTCTGCCTTGCTACCAAAGAAACAAGTAATCTAGAGTTAAAAACTTTTGGATCCTGCCAGCTGCACCGAATCTTTCAACTTTTGGATTGCAGGGATGATAGGCATCTTCAGCATGGGATCTGGTTAAGTACCACCCTAGCAATCAATACTGAATTTTCTTGGTTGTATAGCAATAACTTTCTGAGAAATAGTTAGCATTCTATTCTTTTCGCGACCTGTTAGAAGCTTGACCTCTATTTGTACATGTGGCAGAAAATTGGCAGTTTTAGCAGTTCGCCTGTGAACCTGATAGCTGCTGCTTCTTCTGAGAAATGATTGGATGTTGTGTTATTCGGATATCATGACCTTGCATTAGAGCTCATAGCATTTGTATGTTCTTGGTGACCTTAGTGATGCCTTACACAAGGTTTCTTCTTCGGTAACAGTCATGTGATAAACCTTTTAATTCCTGCCAGGTAAACAAGAGATGCCGATTTCTTCTTGATTTTGAGAACGAAGTTAAGAATGCTCTCAGCGATTTTAACATAAATGATCATCCTTTTGGAGGACAAGATATTAATGCATCTTCTCTTGGATGGGCTATGTCAGCTGTCTCATCTAGGGCCTTTAGGCTATATGAGAAGAAGTCCCTAACAGGGGCCTACAGCAACGTGCCTATGATGCTTCCTCTTATAGATATGTGCAACCATAGCTTCGATCCAAATGCACGTATTGTCCAGGAACAAGGTGAAGAACAACCGGAAATGCTAGTCAAGGCATGTTTGCATATTCTTACTTTTGTTTTCAATTTTGCTTTCTCTGTGTGTGTTTTTTTCTCTCTGGGAAAAACGTTCTGTTCACTTACAGTCCCTAGTTTTGTTAGCTGTTATGTAGTTATGATAATATTCGGTCTTAGTCTCATGTCTTACAACTCTCTCCAGGTTGTTGCCGAGAAAGAAATCGGGGCAAATGATCCTTTGCTTCTTAATTATGGTTGTTTGAATAATGATCTTTTTCTTCTGGATTATGGATTTGTTATACCTTCAAATCAATATGACACTATCGAACTTAAGTACGATGGAGCTCTTCTAGATGCTGCAAGCTTGGCTGCTGGGGTTTCATCACCAAATTTCTCTTCTCCGGCTCCATGGCAGCAAGAAATCTTGTCCCAGTTAAATCTAGATGGAGACAATCCTGATCTCAAGGTTTTGTTCATCATCATATTTTTCTTATGTTCTGGAAGAGTACTTTAAGTGATCAAAGCATTCTTGCGGTATTTCAGAATTTATGCCCAAATCTGCCTTAACTTTGAGCATCAGGAAATGCCACACGAGTATAGATGCATTTATCATACCCTTCTATTTGTAAATCTTGTAGACATCAATATCTGTGGGTAGTCGATTCTGATCCTTTCTGACAATGTGCATTTTTTCGTGCTTTTTCTTCAATTATAGGTAACTTTAGGAGGTTCAGACTTGGTAGAGGGCCGCTTGCTAGCAGCTTTGAGGGTACTCCTCGAAAGGAAAAGTGAATCGGTGCAAAAGCATGACTTGAGCACCCTCAAATCTATGTCAGCCGAGGCTCCATGCGGAATTGCGACGGAAGTGGCCGCATTTCGTACCATAATTGCTCTGTGCGTGATCGCATTGGAACATTTTCCCACCAAAATAATGGAGGATGAATCCATGTTGAAGAAGGGCGTTCCTGATACAACGAAGCTAGCTATCACATTCAGAATTCAAAAGAAGTCGCTCATCGTAGATGTGATGAGAGACCTCTCGAGAAGAATAAAGTTGCTGCTGTCGAAAGAAACGGTCTCTGCTCAAGGCTAAGTGAAGACGTAACATTCGAGTTGTTCTCATCCTCGCCCTTCTTGCAGAGAAAAAGGAAAATAGCTTCTTGTTTTGTCTCTAGGAATTCTTTTCTGGGTTCATTTGATTATGTGATGGTGTTTCGTGCTAGTGCTTTGGTGCAGATCGTTCCTTGTAAGTTTAAATTTCCCGCTTGGGCCTCCCAGTTTGTATGTGTTTACTGCCATTTTGCCCTTTGCTCATCTACACAGTAGCACCACCAACACTACACTATGCACGACCAGCCGTGACCATTGACCACGAGCACGCCTAGACGAGCTTCCGCTGCCGGCAAGGGACCCCACCGTCGTCAGTCCGTCCCTGAGCCCCCACTGCCGTCTCTCTCTCTCTCTCTCTCTCTGTTCCTGTACATCAGCTGTTGAGTCTAAGCTCGCAGTGCTGCTGGTGTTGCCGAGCCAAGGCCCGACCTAGCCAATGCTGGATGGTCGTGATCGTGGGGGTTGTGAGTTTGGTTGGGAGTTTGCGACCCAATGAGCCCTCTCCTCTATCGTCAACGAGGGCAGAGGAAGAGGGAGACGGCCTTAGTCTACGTGTCGCTCGAAGCTGCGTGGTGACGCCAGGTGTTCGCAGCCTCGGCTGTCATGATTTTGCAACCATTGGGTCGAGAGAGAGAGAGAGATTAGCTTTGCGAGCCAAGCATTAGGTGACGGGAGGTGCGAGTGGCAACTGCACGAGGCGTGACGACAGTGGCATGCGCTAGAGAGAGAGAGAACGGGATATAAATTACCCAAAGACATGCGGGACATTTTGGTTGAAAGGAACAAGTTTATCAAGCTAAAGTTATTCGTCATTTTAAAGGATTTCAATCCAAATTCGAAATTACACAAGAACAAATCGCAACACCGCAAAAGAAAAGAAAAAAAGGGAAAGAAATGTCTGAGACAATGTTCATTGGCGCGAGATTTCTGCTTCCACAGTATGCGAGTTGTATGACCCGTCTCGCGTCAACTAACGCGAAGGTCTAAAACGCGAGTCTTCTGCTTCGCTCTGCCGCCAAAACCCACGTTCTCTCGGGCTCAATGCACAAGCTCTTCGCAACAAGTCGTCGGCATCTGAAAGAAAATCACTTCGCCAACCTCAGATTCGCCATTACCTCCGCCCGTTCCCGCCAGTACACCAAAACCCCGAACCCCAACTCCGACCTCGACTTCCCCGGGAACGATGCGCTTGGGGTGCTCGAGTCTTCGAAACCCATCAACCCAACTCCCCAGTTCGTTCTGGGGATGGAGAATGATTTCCATCGGACAGAGCCCTCTAAGTCGTCGTCGAATCCATCGGCGGCGGCGGCGGCGGCCGCTCGGATTTCGCATCCGTGGCCCGAGTGGGCGGATTTGATGGTGCTCCTGCTGAAAGGAGGTTACTTTGATGCGGAGGGAAACCCGTTCCAGAATGCGGAGTTGGGTCCGAAAGAATCGAATCACATTCGAACCGCGTGCCTGAATTTCGCCCGGGACAGATACGACGTTATGAGGTACCGAAAGTAATGGCTTTTGTCTTGTGCGCTTCACCTGTTTGATTTAATTACGGAGACATTGGGTTTTGATGATGGTGGTGGTGAGGTATAGACCTCTGTGCCTTCCTTGAGGAGTAGGTATTTGTGGGTAGGTAGGGCTTCTTCGAAATAGAGTTTGTTATAAGCTTTGTTCTGATTGTTGTGAAGGTATTGCTCATATGAGCTTCAAGAAAGCTCAGACTTTCTCCAGGTTCCTGTTAGATGCTGCATTTGCATACCCACCAGCATATTGTCATTTAGAGAGCTAACTCAGTCACGTTTGACTGTCATTCCTGGTCAATTTATTTTTCTCTTGCTGTGAGGTTCAGAGCCTGCTACTTGTAGGGACCGGAATTCCACTGTCTTCAAACCAGGCCAAGAATCACAACATTGTGAAGGAAAAAAAGTTTTCTTCTTTCTTTGTTCATTTTGAAAACCCGGGGAAGAAAGAAAAGTGTGGAGTAGTTTTTCTAGGAACTTGTGAATGGTATGTTGTTTTGGATAATATCACCATGTTGTGTCAACCATGAAGTGATGGCCTATTATCATATATCCATAGACTGGTACCCCGTTTGTTTCACGGAAAATAAATGATTTGAAAAATATTTTCTTAAAAACGATAGCTTGTATCGCTTGAAATAATTAGTCAATGAAAAATGTTTTCATAATCGACAACAATATTATGTCTATAATTTTTGTGGATGATGAAAATATTTTTCATTCATTCATTTTTGTAAGCGATACAAGTGACCATATTTTTCTCCCGAGCTTTCTTTTTAACCCAGAATTCTGTTACTAAGCTAAATATAATATTGTTTAAAAGCATCTTAGTTGGCATCTCAGTCCATCTTTTTCTGCATAGTGGCAACAACATGGTGCCTTATGTGCGTCCTCCTTTACTTAGCAAGAGAATTCACAGGACTCGCCTTTAGGCGTAAAGCTTACCCATCCACTTTCAGGCCTTTCTATGTTACTATGTTTTTCTCTCAAAATGAAGGTATTTAACTAGAACCCGGAGCTGAAGATTTTGGATGACATGTGATCTGAAAAGAGGCAATTCATATTACATTGGGCATATGATAATAATGCATACTAGGAATTTAGCTGGTAATCGATTTGACAGTATGCACTCTGATTCAGAGATTAGCTGCTACTCAAAGCGGCTAGTGACTGTCCAATGCAATATCATCACCAAATAGGTATCCGACAACATAGCTTTACTTGAGAAATGGGAGGTTTCCTCATTTACAAATAGAAAGAGTCACTTGACTCGTATTCAGAAGGTTTTAACAAGACATTTCCTGATAGGTATTTGTCAAAGAAACATATTCAGGTCATAGCAGAGTGTGGATGCCCCAGCACAGACAGAAAAGTGGTGAACTCTGGTAAGCGCTTAAGGGCACATGTGGGCATCGATGAGGGTAATGTATGTTCTCTTCTTAAAGACTACCAGTAATCATTAGATTCTATCGATTCATCAGTCATACTCATTACAGACAGCTGCTTTGCCAGGTTTGCAGCTCCTGCAACTTGAGGGGAAACTGTGAGAGAGCATTTGTGAAGGCGCGTGAAGATGAAGGAGGGCGCACGGTTGATGCTATGCGAATCTTGTTAACATACGGACTTGACCCCATAAGCGATACTGTGGAGAATAAACCATGTCTGACAAGAACAGTCAAGGAATCAGTCAGAGCACTGCTAAAGCAAATGGCAGAGTATGGCACCAATGTACTTGGCTCCGATTTGTCAAAGCCCACACCAGCTGGTGATGATCGATCCTGGCATTCAAGTTCGGAAGAGAAAGGCCACAAAGATGTTCCAATGAAACAAGGAGATTGGCATTGCCCCAAGTAATGCAGTTGTTACCATCCTATTGATTTATTTGAGTTTTGCTCTGAAAGGCCACAAACATGTTCCAATTTATTTTCTGCATATGGCAGGTGCAATTTCTTAAACTTTGCTAAGAACATCAAATGCTTGCGATGTGATACTTTTTCTCAAGAAAGACTGAATCAACTACAGGAAGACCAAGATCATCTTCCGCTAAAGAAAGGAGACTGGATATGTGACAAGTGATTGCTTATCATGTCTTTTCTCAGTTGTTCACTGATTTGTGTCGAGGGTCAGCAGAGGTTTTCCCTTATAGAAACTGTTGCATTTTGCAGATGCAATTTCTTAAATTTTGCAAAGAATACTAGATGTTTACAGTGCAAAGAGAAACCCCCGAAAAGGCAGCTCAATCCCGGGGAGTGGGAGTGTGAATCGTGAGTTCTTGCTAATCCATTCTTTTAGTGACCACTATATTGAGCAGTTACTGTTTATGAGCTCTTCTGACCTTATGGATCTGTGATTGGTAGATGCAACTACATCAACTTTAGAAGGAATATGGTATGCTTGAAGTGTGATTATAGAAGGCCTAAAGCATCAAATTCAAATGGCTCTTCTCAATGGGAGCATGATGTTGGAAGTCATCATCGAGGTCATGGAGCTGTTGAAGATAGAAATTCTATGTGTTCTCCGAGAAGAAATAGTCAAATACGAGTTGCAAATAGGTGGAGATTTGTGGATGAAGAGAACGGGGTCGCTGAGAAACCGAAGTTGACAAACTCATTGAACAATGTTTCTGGAATTCTTGATTTTCCAATTGCAGGAGGCCTGAGTGATTTGTCTCGCGACACAGAAAAGAGGGAAACATGGAAGCTGAAGATGCTGGAAAGAAGTAGAATGGCCACAGAGGAAAAGGCAAATCCAGACGAGCCACGCTCATCCAGAATTTATAGGAAGTCAGAATCACCAGACTTTGAGGACGATGAAGAAATGGCCGATTGGTTTGGGGGTGGAAAGACGTGAGTAGAGTTGTCTGTACATGTAATCGAGAAGAATCAGATTCATGTTTTTGAGGATACTGCCTTCTTTTTTCCAGTGGACAGTGAACTATTCATCTCGTGCATTCCCGCTGTTGAGTTGCCATGTCTGTGTATGGTTCAGTCTCCGGAATCAGTTTAGTAAACAAACTTCGCACAAGTTACTGTCACACACGGAATATGCAAACAATTAACCACTATAAGAACAACAACAACACAAGGTTTAGTAGAGTTTAGGGGAAGAATCCAGTATTTATTTCAGTATTACAAGGAAGCATCTTATTCTTTATCACCTTTTTTGACCTATGCACCTCTCAATCATGCCCTGAAGTAATTTATTAAACTTTTCCCGTCCAACTCCTTTGTAAAGAATCTTGTCATGTATTCGCTGAAGGTGAACTGCCGGAAAGCAGCGGGTTTATCCGAGGATACGAGCTCCGGTAATGGTCCAAACTGATTCTCTCGATCGCTCGGGTTGCAGAAAACCGCTATCGACACACGTGGCTCTCGGCTAGGGTTGGCCAACACCCGGTGGTCCACGCTTTTGTACTCGTCATTGGACAAGATCTGGAAGAATCAAAAGCACGTAAATAGATCTCTCTGTTTCATGGTAGAATGTACCTTTTTATATTACTCAGGTGCTAGTCCTCAAAGGGAGTTTACCTGGAGGATGTCACCAATGTTCACAACAAGAGCACCCGGGACAGGCGTCACATCCACCCACTCGTCGCCGCGCTTCACCTGCAGCCCGCCGACCTGGTCCTGCAGGAGCACCGTGATCACTCCCGGGTCCGCGTGGGACGTCAAGCCGACCGTCAGATCGGGCTGGGGGCAGTACGGATAGTAGTGCCCCACCATGACCCTCGTCTCCAAGCACGTCAATTCCTGTAGCTTGCCGGGACTCAACCCCAGCCCCTCGCTCAACAGCCCCATCAGCAGGCCTCCCAGCCGTTGGACCTGCTGGTTCCACTCAATCACCTCGTTTCTGCACACCTCCGGGATCTCTTCCACGTCCGCTAATTTCGGTCCCAGCCTTATCTGGAGCGTGTCCCTGCAACATTTATTCGTTGCATTGGTCAGACCGATTCTTTTTCGCTTGCCCAAAATTTCTTACATTTCTTACATTCAAATGACACTATCTTCTGTTTGTCAAAATGAATTCTGCAACCGTATGCTGTATGATCTGTCAACACGACCCTCCAACACATCAGGATGTGTCTCTGTCTTCTTTTCAGACGTATATGATATATCCGTTCGCGTCATTCGCTAATTGTTCGACACGATCGTATTGGTAATTTAGCTTTTTATACGACTAACTTTCATCAAATTCATGAGCATAAAAACGAAATTAATGGAAGCGGCTTCGTGGGGGTTACCTCCAGCTAGCCGCTTTGGAGACGAACAAGTCGACGTTGGAGAAGAACGACACGCCGGTCTCCGTCTGCCTCCGGTAGATCCTCGCCTTCGCCTCCACCGGCTGCTCGTGGAAGGCCCTCACCGCCGCGATCGTGCGGTCCATGGCCTCCGCCGGCACGCCGTGGTTGACCACCTGGAAGAAGCCGAGCTCGCGGGCCGCGCGCCCCACTTCCTCGACGACGGCGGAGGGCCGGCGGCCGGGGCCGCAGCCGGAGAGGTCGATGGTGGGGATCGGATCGGGCCTGGGGCGGGCGGGCCGGAGGCCGGAGAGGGTCTCGGGCGGGTGGACGAAGAGGGGAGGGAGGGAGGTGAGGCCGGAGTCGACGAGACCCTTGACTCCGATCTTGGATTCTTCGAATTGCCTGAGCTCCTGGGATCGGTCGACGGCTTCTTGACCGGTGCCGGTGACGCCCATGGTGGTGTTGGACTCTTTTGAGTACTGCTGGTTCGGATTGGAAATGTGAGGGTGGTGTGAGGAAAGAGAAAGGGGGGAAGGGGAAGGAAGATGTGAAAGAAAGGCGTGATTGTTCATCGGTCAAAGTCAAACCCCCGCGATTCACGCAATAGGGAGATAGCTCGTTTTTTAAACAGGATGCCGTGTTCGTGCGGTGGTTGATATGAATTAACATAAGCAATAATAAAATGAACTAACGATTCAAGGCATCTCGATTACAACCATTAAAATAGATCGCGGATCCATTTTTTTAACTCATATATAATGGGCTAAGTTGTTATATGGATTAGTTATGTCCAGTAAATGGATCATAAATTAGTTTAAACATAATATGAATGTTAAATGGATCATAAATGGATTTATAATTTATTTAGACCCAATCCATATTTATGACTCTCTTCGTTCTCTCTCACCCTCATTCATCTCTCGCCCACTCACTTGGTGCTATCACTTCCATTTGGGTATGAATTTTCCCAAATTTAGTTAAATATGAAAGTATTTTAACAATATGGGTATGAGTTGAGTATGAATCACTAGATTTGCATTACATTGAAATTGGTCTATTTGGGTTGACCCATTTTTAACCCAACCAAACCCAAACCCGACCGGATCCATCCGTTTGACCGGTCTAATCTAATCTCGATTGCATAAGGGTAAATTGGTCACATGTGTATCGATTTGGAGTTTTTCCTGATATTAATTTTTAATTTTTTAAATAGATCATATATGGATTTAACAACCATATTGACAAGTCTAGTGGGAAGATGTGAATAGAGACGTGTGTACACGTAATCCAGCAGAATCAAATTCATTTGTTTCTTTGGCGTATCTGTTTCCTAGGAAACTGGCTTTTCTTTTCCAGTGGACAGTAAACTATTCATCTCGTGCGTTCTTGCCGTTGATTTTTCCATGTCTATGATGGGTTCAGTCTCTCTGAATAAGTTCAGTAAACAAACAAACTTTGTCCATCGCACAAGTTACCGCCACACATGAATTATGCCAACAAAGATGTGCAAATTAACCGCTATATGAAACAACATAACACAAGGTTCAGTAGAATTTAGGGGAAGAATCTAATACTTTTCTACATTATTACAGGGAAGCAATCTTATTCTCGGGGGTACCATCGTTTTTGGCCTAGGCACCTCTCAATCATGCCCTGAAGTAATTCATCACACTTTTCCCGTCCAACTCCTTTGTAAAGAATCTCGTCATGTATTCGCTGAAGGTGAACCGCCGGAAAGCGGCGGGCTTATCCGAGGATACGAGCTCCGGGAACGGTCCGAACTGATTCTCTCGATCGCTCGGGTTGCAGAAAACCGTTATCGACACACGTGGCTCTCGGCTAGGGTTGGCCAACACCCGGTGGTCCACGCTTTTGTACTCGTCGTTGGACATGATCTGAGAAAAGCCGAAATCACGTGAATGGATCTCGGTTTCATCGAAGAATGAAAACTTTTTTTTTGAACTTACTCAGGTACTTGGGAGACGCTCCCAGTCCATGACGGAAGTTTACCTGGAGGATGTCGCCGATGTTCACGACCAGAGCGCCCGGGACGGGCGTCACATCCACCCACACTTCGCCGTGCTTCACCTGCAACCCGCCGACCTGGTCCTGCAGGAGCACCGTGATCACCCCCGGGTCCGTGTGGGACGTCAAACCGACCGTCAGATCGGGCTGGGGACAGTACGGATAGTAATTCCCCACCATCATCCTGCTCTCGGAGCACGTCAATTCCTGTAGCTTGCCGGGACTCAGCCCCAGGCCCTCGCTCAGCAGCCCCAACAGGAGGCCTCCCAGCCGTTGGACCTGCTGATTCCACTCCATCACCTCGTCTCTGCACACCTCCGGGATCTCTTCCAGGTCCGCTAATGCCGGCGCCAGCCTTATCTGGAGCGTGTCCCTGCAACATTTCCTTGCATTGCTTGAACTAATTCTCTGTGCTTTCCCAATTTTTCCTCTTTTCAAACGACTTCCTTTTCTTTTGTTTTGTGCCCGTAAGAAATTAGAAACAAGGACGAACTCTCTGATTGTATGCAATCCATCCAGCTGTATAATCTCTCAATATATGACATATCATTTCGTGTCGTTTTCTACAAAGTTCTGAACTAGATTCGACCCGATGCCAAATGGTAAGTGAGCTTTGACAATACTGATTATAACCATATTCATCAATTAAGAGGAAACTAATTGAAGCGGCTTCGTTGATTACCTCCAGCTAGCCGCTTTGGAGTGGAACAAGTCGAGGTTGGAGAAGAACGCGACCCCGGTGTCCATCTCCCTCCGGTAGATCCTCGCCTTCGCCGCCGCCGCCGGCTGCTCGTGGAAGGCCTTCACCGCCGCGATCGTGCGGTCCAGGACCTCCGCCGGCACGCCGTGGTTGACCACCTGGAAGAAGCCGAGCTCGTGAGCTGCGCGCCCCACTTCCTCGACGACGATGGAGGGCCGTCGGCCGGAGCCGCAGCCGGAGAGGTCGATGGTGGGGATCGGATCGGGCCTGGGGCGGCCGGGCCTGAGGCCGGAGAGGGTCTCGGGCGGGTGGATGAAGAGGGGAGGGATGGAGGTGAGGCCGGAGTCGATGAGGCCTTTGACTCCGAGCTTGGATTCTTCGAATTGCTTGAGCTCCTGGGCTCGGCCGGCGGCTTGTTGAGCGGTTCCGGTGACGCCCATGGTTCGACTCCGACTGCTGGTTCGACCGATGATGCGAGTGTCGTGCCGCAAGGAAACAGAAAGGGAAGGACGAAGAGGCGATGTGAGAGGAAGAGACACCAAACCCCCGCGATCGCGTGAACAATAATGCCGTATTCGTGGGGTGGAATGACATGAATAAATAACGTGATGGAAGAAAAATCAACGTAAAAATTAGAAGAAAACAAACTTACCAGTCAATGCATCTCGATTACATGAGGGTAATTTTTCAAAGAGAGGTTTTTAAGGCGCGCCGTTTCAATGATTAGTCATTCAATTATATTCAAATTGTTCGATTATCTTCTGTTATCGCTCAATATTAGCCTGTCGAATCTACGACATCTTATATGTTCTTTCCAAATTCCTATAAGAACTGTAGCATTACGACGGTCTTATTTCACAATTTTATTGGTTATCCGAGACGATTAGTTTTTATAAAAGTTTTACGAAATCCCAATCTCATGTAATTTTTTGGTTTGACAGTTGTTTTGAGTGACTCTCGCATGCAAGAAACCCTCATGATCCGTACTATCCACAAAGACAAATAAGTGAAAATCAATTAGAATCAATTCCTTTTGGCATGAACCAATTTGAGACTGGCTTTGACTTTAATGGTTGAACTTCTTGAAATAAAAAATACGTGACATCGTGAATTAACTCACTTGAAGTATTATTCACTTTGATCCATTTTATATCGAGTGTCACAGTTCAGTACTTTAGCATACAAGTTGACACTTTCTAAAGAAGTCACTCATCCTGATAGTGCTCTCGCTTGAGCATACTTAATATTGAAATTCCAATACTAACTATTGTCATTATGTAAAAACATTCATCTTGTCAGTTAATTCCAATGTAACATATTTATTCGGGGAACGCTCTTCTCCTTTTTGGTGCGTAATTTGGTTTATTCATATACTATTGCTATCCTAAAAGTCTGCCATGAGCTGTTCCTTATCTGAGCTCTCTGGCCCCGGTAATCACTTCTCATTCTCGACAAACTGGGTTGTTACAAATGAAGTATTAGATTGAGGCGAATAGGTTGTGGTTGGATAGGTTGACACGTCGAGATGTGTTTAAAAGTTCCGAGAGTTAAAAGATATCCTACAGAGAGTTATTCCCAATCGAATTACAAGGTTAGACTCCTTCTGTTCTACAATTGGTACAAAATCTCGATCTTTATTTCTCTCTCATGTGATGTTTCATTAGGAAAGCTCGTGGATTCTAGTTTTGAAAAATTTATTGGAACCTAAAACCCACAACGTTTTTAATTGGGCGATTGAAACTAAAGGTCGTGATATTTTATGATTTAATCGGTGGATTCCGACCAATTTTAGCTATTGATCGACAACTGACGACAAACACTATCTAATTCCTCCATTTTGAACAATGATGGAGTCAGAATTCTAGTAAAGACAGGTGTAAAGGTCATCTTATAAACGGCCACGTTAAGTAAGAAATGGTTCTTATCTAATCATTACTCTGATAAAGTAATTAAGATAGCTTTTTATAAGCTTTTATATGGAAAAGGAGGACTAAATTAGTCGATGAAAAGCCAAAAAAAGAAAATGACGTAGACATACTGTAAAATACAAGGGACTGAGCATAGTGGAGCCCCTTCAACTTTAGGGGGAAAAGTGTACAGTAGAATTTAGGGGAAGAATCCAGTATTTCCTCCAGTATTACAGGAAAGAAATCTTATTCCTGTATCATCTTCTTTGGCCTATGCACCCCTAAATCATGCCCTGAAATAATTTATCAGATTTTCATCCAACCCTGTAGTAAAGAATCCCTTCATGTATTCGCCCATGGTGAACTGCCGAAAAGCAGCGGGTTTATCCGGGGATACAAGCTCTGGCAACGGTCCGACCTGAATCTCCAAATCGTTTAAAATTGTAGAAAACTACTATCGGCACGCGCGGCTCTCGGTTAGGGTTGGCCAACGCCCGGTGGTCCGCGCTTTTGTACTCGTTGTTGGACATGATCTGGGAAAAATCGAAATGAAACCGACTCAGATGCTTCGGAGACGCTCCTAGTACTCGAGGGAAGTTTACCTGGAGGATGTCGCCGATGTTCACAACCAGAGCGCCCGGGACGGGCGGCACATCCACCCACTCGTCCCCGTGCTTCAACTGCAAACCGGGGAGGTGGTCCTGCAGGAGCGCTGCGATCACACCCGGGTCCGTGCGGGACGCCAAGCCGACCGTCAGGTGGGGCTGGGGACAGTACGGATAGTAATTCCCCACCATCATCCTGTTCTCCGGGCACGTCAATTCCTGTAGCTTGCCGGGGCTCAATCCCGGCCCCTCGCTCAACAGCCCCATCAGGACGCCTCCCAGCCGTTGCATCTGCTGATTCCACTCCATTACCTCGTTTCTGCACACCTCGGGGATCTCTTCCATGTCCCCTTTCGGCTCTAGCCTTATCTGGAGCGTGTCCCTGCGACGGTATTCCTTGCATTGGTTTGAACTAATTCTTTTTGCTCGCCCAAATTTTTTTTTTCAAATGACTTTTGCTTTTGTTTGTCAATTAAGATGAACTCTCTAACTTCATGCAATCCAGTTGTATAATTTCTCGATGTCAAACTCATCCCATTAGGATGTGTCGTCATCTTCCTCTAGTCATATATGTTATATCGTTTCGTGTCATTTGCTAAATATTCTAAACTTGATCGGACACGATCGTAAATGGTATAAAACTAATTTTCATCAAATTCGTCAATTGATAAGGAAACTAATTGAAGTGGCTGTGTTGATTACCTCCAGCTAGCCGCTTTGGTGTGGAACAAGTCAACGTTGGAGAAGAACGCGACCCCGGTCTCCATATCCCTCCGGTAGATCCTCGCCTTCGCCTCCATCGGCTGCTCGTTGAAGGCCTTCACCGCCGTGATTGTGCGGTCCATTACCTCCGTCGGCACACCGTGGTTGACTACCTGGAAGAAGCCGAGCTCGCGAGGCGCGCCCCACTTCTTCGACAATGGAGGGCCGCCGGCCGGAGTCGAAGCCGGAGAGGTCGATGGTGGGGACCGAATGGATTAAATCGGGCCTGGGCTGGGCAGGCTTGAGGCCGGAGAGGGTCTCGGGCGGGTGGATGAAGAGGGGAGGGATGGAGGTGAGGCCGGAGTCGACGAGACCTTTGACTCCGAGCTTGGATTCTTCGAACTGCTTGAGCTCGTGGTCTCGGTCGAAGGCTTGTTGGCTGGTGCCGGTGACGCCCATGGTTCGACTCCGACTGCTGGTTCGACCGATGATGTGAGTGTTGTGCCGCAAGGAAAGAGAAAGCGAAGGACGAAGAGAGGCGTTGTGAGAGGAAGGGACACCTCCCAGATTCATTATACAAGACCATAAACTCACGAAAGACAGAGTCATCGGGTGCTTTTGATTTTGGCAAAAGGACACTATAAGTGTTATAAGTTGTGTACGGAGATCATTTTGGTGCCATAACTTTTTTTCGGATCACTTTGGTGCCAAGTCGGAGGAAAAGAGATCACTTTAGTGACTCCGGCCAAAATTCCGGCAAAAAAAAAGAGCCACGTCAGATTTCCGACGAGCCACGTCAGATTTCCGGCGAGCCATGTCAGCATCGAAAATTAATAAAAAAAAGAGCCATGTCAGATTTCCGGCGACCATGTCAGCATTGGCACTAAAGTAATCGTTTTTCAAAAAAGTTGACACCAAAATGATCCGAAAAAAAGTTATGGCACCAAAGTGATTTCTGTACATAACTTATGGCACTTATAGTGTCCTTTTGCCTTTTGATTTTCTTTTGGGAAAATACTACCAAAAATCTCAAACTATGTCATTTGTGATAAATTTACCCTAAATTTTTTTTTATGACACGAAAAACTTCAAACTATATCACTTGTAACAAATTTACCAAGAACTTTTTTTGTGACACGAAAAACTCAAAACCATGCCACTTGTGACACATTTACCACACAATACTTTGACCCAAGGGCATTTTCGTCTTTTTTCTTTTTCTGTTTTTTTCCTTTCTTCTCGGGTAGAGGGAAGTCGGCGAGGGCTATCCTCGCCGGCGTTGGGGTTGGGCGACCTCGCCCAACGCCGGCGAGGGCAGCCCTTGCTCGCCGTCGGGCGAGGGTCGCCCTCACCGGTGTCGAGCGAGGGTCGCCCTCGCCTGGGCGGGTGAGGGCAGCTCTCGCCCGACCCAGATCGAGGCGAGGGCGAGGGCTACCCTCACCGGCGTCGGGCAAGGTCGCCCAACCCCAACACCGGCGAGGACCGTCCTCACCGACTTCCCTCCGCCGGAGAAGAAAGGAAAAAAAAAGAAAAAAAAAAAAGAAAAGGAAAAAGATGAAAATGCCCTTGGGCCAAAGTATTGTGTGGTAAATGTATCACAAATGGCATAATTTGAGATTTTTCGTGTCATAAAAAAAGTTAAGGGTAAATTTGTCACAAGTGGCATAGTTTGGAGTTTTTCGTGTTACAAAAAAAGTTTAGGGTAAATTTATCACAAGTGACATAGTTTGGGGTTTTTGGTGATATTTTTCCTTTTCTTTTTATGCAATTTTACCTGGTATTAAAATCAGATTAATAAACGAGATTGGACAGAAGTCAAGAATCATATAGCTCAACATGTTATTTTTCAAAGTAAAATCTTCCCATTTTTTTATGGAACTGCGAGCAACAAGAGGAGCACATTAGAAGCAATGTATTACTAGGCCTTTGAAGTAATTATTCTGGGATTTTAGTCTTTACAGCTAATTATCCGTTTACACTAATCAAGCCATGTGGCCATGTGGCCATGTGGCCATGTGGGAAGTAATCATAAAAACTAATTTAAGGAGAAGTCTTTAATATTGACCTATTTATATCCAATGCAAATTTAGTAACCAATACCTATACCCATACCCATACCCAACACATGCCTAACCCGACCCAAAATCCATCTTTAGCAACCTTTTTTTCTGCAAATTGTTGCCTTTTGAAGAATGGGCCGCTCTATGTATCAATTTGTTGAGTTAGTGAGGGAGCTCGGGGCTTGAGTTTTAGATAGGGGAGTGAAGGTTGTGGTGAAAGTTTGGGTTTCTTCAGAAGTGCAATTTGGCACAATAGTAGGGAAAATTACCAAAAAAGTCATAAACCTATTGCAATTGTGCCAATTCAGTC